CCTGTTCCTCGATTCAATCTCTAATTATGCCTGCAGGTGGGACCTTTTTACTTGACATGTTCTTCTCTTGATATTTGTTAAAACTTTTTTCTTCTGCCTGCTATTCTGATGGATCTGCAGTTTCACATGGTTACCCGTATTCCCTTTTGAAGGAATAACTTTGAGAGCTTGCAAACTAAATTCGTTTAGTTTTTTTTTCTCTTGGTGGTATTGACCACCAACTTGTACCACATGAACTGCATTTCTTGGGTGTGTCTTTCAAGTTTATGACATGTCATGGTATCAAATAATATGTCTTGCCATGAGTTTCTTTCTTATTGATCAGAAAAAAAAGAAAGAAGGAAATGCTTAGTGTGAGTTACTCATCTTTAATAGAAAATATTCTAAATATTTAGAATGAATGAAAAAATGCTCAGATTGATTAGAAGTAACTCATTTACTACCACATTCAGACACATCCTCTAGAGATGGTCCTGTTTCACTGCTAGCCTTTTTGGTGTGTGACTCCTCAGCTGCTGTGCTAGCCAACAGCTGCTGGCAATTTAGTAATGATTCTTCCCTTTAATTAATCAATTGGAGTCCACATGGAGGAGGTCTGTACTTACTGTGTCAAAATTTTTACAAAAGCATGCATGCAAGGGAAGCAAGCATGCACAGAAAAACCAGTATCTTTCCAACAACATTCAAATAGTCAGAAATCTGCATACTGGAAGCATGCAAGTGTGTTTGCACAGATATTGTGTATGTCATTTTAAAAAAAGGGAGGTATGCTATGCTAGTGGAACAAACACAACATGATAAATGCCTAAGAACTGAATAATATGTTTAGAGAAGAAAAAGTTCACAAACTGAAGACTTGACATAATCAACGTTTGTTAGTAAATTGAGAACCGTGGAGGGAAGGGAGGTTTCCCACCTTACCCCAACATAAGCAGAAAACACATCTTGTTCTCGAAGCACTGTTAATAGGGGATGATTTTGCTGATAGAAGGTAAAGGAGAGTGGGAGACCAAGGAGGAGTGGAGCCCCAGTTTCCAACTTGCTGTAAGGCTGTTGGAAGCCTAAGGCTGTGAGAGTGAACACACTCATGTGAAAGGCGGCAGGAGATGGGTGAATCTGTAGGATATATGTATACATACATAGCCACATACACCATGTTCTTACCACTTTATCAAATTTGTGTTTTTATAAAATTAAATTGCCATGACCTCAAAACATTAGCAAAGGCTGGAAAATCCTTTTTGTCATGATGATTTCTTTGACTGCAAAATAGCTGAAGTATAACAAAATGAAAAAGAAAAGAACTGGGTACAATACAAAACACTTTCTGTACAAGTGATATATTTGTATGTTGTACCTGTGTATTTATATATTTGAAACTCCTGGACTAAATTGAAGCAGATGATCAGGAAGTTGATGGGATTGCGTAGCAGCCCTCTGGGGTTGCCAGGGTGTGACAATGCAGTTTCTACCTTTTCTAATCTGTGGTCATTACTGTCAAACAGTGCTAATATAAGGACACTTCTGAGACATCTTCCTTTCACAGAAAGTCAGAGTAGGGAAATGGATCAGAGTTCTACCAGGGTGTCTGGGGTTTTGTCTTTCTTTTGCTTCATTCTTTGCTTCCCTGTCTTAAACACTGCTGAAAGTATTCTTCTTTGGCAGTTCCATGCTACAGAATGAAACTCCCATGATCAGAGTAACCAGCCTTGCAGATGGCATCCCTGTGCACCTTCACTAAGCCCTGGCCCAACTCTTCCAGGGATCAGCCACGCACCGGTCAAAGCTTTCTCTTGGCCAGGGGCTGCTTACCTGGCTTGCATAGAAGGTGTGGCAAGGCTTGACCAGAAGGCAGAGGGCAGGCAGAGTCTTTGCTTACACAGTAATGTGGCCTAATGTACTGGCTCCTGGTAGTATGTAAAGGATTCTCACATGAAAAATAATGGGGCTGTCTTACCCAGTGGGCTGTGAGAACACAGAGATTGGCGTGCTAGCTGCAGCCAGAACTGGAGTCAACAGTATGAGGAAAGAAGCAATTTTGCATGCAAGACTAACAATTCTTTCTTAAGGAATGTTCCCAGGAGTGTACCCAAACATTTAGTCCAAACAGGGAGTGAAGTTATTGCCTGAAGCCCCGAGGCAGGCTAGGACATCTCACAAGTGGTTATTAACTGTGCTCAGTGCTCTCTGGCTCCATACTCCAGTAGGGGCAGGAACACCCAGGGAGAACCCAAAACTATCCATGGAGAACACCCAGATCCAAGCACTTAGTTTCTGTTGTAGAGAATTTGCATCCTGTGGTAAAATGAAGAGGAGGGTTTATTAACTGAGGGCTGGGACCTGGGAAAGATTCCTGAGTGGTATGTTTTGGATGCCAGATCTGGGAGGAAACATGGGATTTACTCAGGTGTAACAATGGAAAAACATGGAACAATGCATGGCTTTTTCCTTCTTCCAGGTCGTGTCCATTTTAGCTGTAATCATGAACCAGTGTTTAGTTGTATATTCTAAGTGTGAAGGCCGAGGGTGTCTTTCATGAAAATTCAAAGGAAAGTTGAGGACTGGGAGCTGCACTAGTGTCACCAGATAATGCGTTTCCCTCCGTGTCAGAAAGCAGGAACAAATATGGGACAATGTTCGGGGCGAGGGAGGAATAAAAGAGCAGCAGGAAGAGAAAGGAAACAGGAACGGTGCAGGGAGAAGAGAGACCCCGGGAAAGAGGTAAGGTGAGCTTTGGTGGTGGTAGTGTGATTATTCCAGAAAGGGGAAAGATACCTTGAGATTAGGAGTTGAGATATTGTTCTTAGAAGACTTAGGACAGCCTTAGTGCACAGTTGTGTAATTCTACTTGGTCAATAGCTGGAAGAGCCGTGCTGAAGGGTACCAAGGCCTTGCTAGGAGAAAGAAAAAGCCAGCATGAAGACCTTCACCTTTGTGTGGTGGCATCATGAGTCCTGTTTGGTTCTAGAACTCCATTTTTAAAAAACTATCTATGTATTATTGTATTATTTAGAATTTTAAAAAGTTATGCCATTTTTGGTGTGCTGTGCTAGTAGTAGTTTCCCGTACTTCGAATGTCTGTGAACAGACTGTGGTTACAGAAGTGCTGTTGTTCTGTTTGGGCAATTTACATCTCTAGGCCTCTGCTAAAGCAGTGGCACTTGTAATCGTTTGTGGCAGATGGGAAGGCATCTCCCCAACTCCCCCGTCTCCCAGCTGCCAAGTTTTACTTTTCTCCTCTCATTGCTCTGCATCTAATGAGCTGCCCTGCTTCACCTAGTCTCTTTCTGTCGTGTCTCACACCCTTCCACTCCTCTCCAAGCCTGTGGCGACTGTCCATACCAGAGTCCAACCTTTCTTTCACCTGGACATCAGCATGTCTTCCTCCTTCATTACAGACACTACCATGTGAGCTTTTAGGTAGAAGCTAGGGTTGCAGCTGTGTATGAGATACAGTCACTGCTTGTCAGTTGTCACTGTCTAGTCAAGAAAAGGACAGACGAGTTGACAGTGTGAGTCTTGTTTTGCCCCAAAGGAGCCAGGATGTTTCTAGCACACTGGAGAGCCATGCACACCAGGCACATGAATGGACCTGATTTTTTGGAGAAGAAAAGAAGGCTAAGCTCAGAAATTAGAGAAAATAGAGTGGGAAATAGTCACCTTGCAACAGTTTGGAGGTGTACATAAGCATGACATACTTAGGGGAATGCAGGATATTTTGAATGAGACAGAGCTAAACATGGTAAGGTTCACATGATGGATCTCTATGTCATTCACTCAGCATTTAGTTATTCATTTGATTATGGTTTAGGGTGTTTACCATGCACAAGGCAAGGGCATAAACAGTCTGTTTAAGGAACAAAATTTTTCAGAAATTAATGAAAATGATCATGGGAGAGGTGCAGTCAGAAGATAGATGCAGAAAGGAAAGGGACCAAATATCTGACTATTGTCCTGAGCAGAGTTGCCCTCAAACCCTGTTGGCTCCAGATATCACTGCAGACACAGCCATGGTGACCTTGGAAAACTAAATATCTAGTAACTGGACTCTTTCTTTAACTAAAATATGAATGGAGGGAAGATGATGGGGTATTCAGCAGTGAGGAAATGAGTCAGGGAATAAGTAGAAGCAAGCTAGATGGTTGAGCAATTTTCTTAAATGATATATGAAAGGAGAGTCTTGAAAACGAATGGGTTTTGACTCAGCTTTATATTCAGAACTTATAAAAATGCGGGACAGCATGCAGCCAGCAGAGCATTAGTGTATTAGGCGCCATAATCTAGTTGAGTTTCTACAAAGTAACTTCAACCAAGAAATGAAAAACGATTTCTGCAGAATCAATTTTTGAAAAAAATGTAGTGAATAATGGATGCAATAGAATGGAATATGTGAATAATACAATGGGAAGGTATTAGGAGCAAAATAGGGAACAGAAAGTACTTGGAGATAATCTGATCTATGGTAAAAGGTCATAAACTACTACTTAGCAATAAAGATACTTTTGGGCCAGGAGAAAGAATAAAAAAAAAATTAAAAATAATTTAAAATAGAATAGGAAGTGTGAAATATTAAACACTTGGGCCATGCAATATTAAAATAGCAAAATTAAAATAATTTATAAAATTTGACAGTTTCCACTTAAACACAAAATAATGTTCGCTTAGTCTGAGTCTCAAACTAGCAGGGTAGGTCTTGTTCAGAGCCTTTGGAGGCACTGAGGACTGGAAGCTCCTGTGTTGTCTTTCTCAGGCTCAGAGCTACCTGTCTTTCTGCTCCCAGTGCTCCAGCTGCAGGATGCAATGAGCTGCTGTCCATTTCAGGTATTGCTTCAGGTTTGGGAATTCTGGGTTAAGTACCTGTTGTTAAAACAGAATAACTGAGGTTCTGGAGAAAAGCTTGATGATGTGCATGAATGGCAGGTTAGCTCTCAAAAGAGATGTGAGCGTCTTGTTGGGACCTGTGTTCCAGGGCTTCTGTGCTCCGATGTCTTCTCTTTCAGGGGTCTTTGATGTGTGGTGCCTCAAGACACCTCAGTATTACTTTCAAGCACCATCCCAGGCCTACTGAATCAGAACCCATTCCCAGGTGAGGTTTAGGTATTCATGTTTCGGTGACCCCTGCAGCTGATTCTGATGTATGTTTTAGTTTGAAAGTCATTGTCTTGTCTTTTGTCTAGGCTTATCTTCAGGATATTGTAATCCAACTTTTATTTTATTTTGTTTTAAAGAGGATTAAACAATAAAATCAATCAACAAACCAGTGTAAGAGATACAGGACTTAAAACATTATGAAATCAACAATAGGTACCATAATGCTTTTTGGTATCTTCAAAATAGCTGCAGATAACTTCAGACATTATAAAAGTTGAACAGAGTAGAACAGAATAGAAACAAAAAAATAAAACAATGAATTCAATAAGGACTTCAAAACAAGCTTATAGTAAATCCAAAATTGCTACCATAATGTATCTTGCTATCTTTGAAATAACTGCTTATGCCATTCAATTTGACATAATCAAACAAAACAAAAGAGAATAAAACTCAACCCAACTAAACAATGGAAATGATATAGGACTTCCAAAACAAGACCATAGGGAATCAACAATGGCAGCAACCCTGAGAAAGAAAGAGATACCCCTAGATGCCACACTGCTACCAGACCAATGGCTGTAGACCTGCAATGTTAGTGAAACACCAGAGCACCACAGGCATCCAATTGCATTTCATCTTGACAGCTATCATCACAGGCTGTGTTTCTCCAGATAAAACAGTCGCTTATGGCGGGGAGTGGGGGGCCGGGATTGGTACTTCTTTCTAGCCTGTGTGTTGGAAGGGGCTGGGGTTTAGCTGTTCCAGTCTGGTGGTGGCCCATGTGTGATGCTGATTCTCAGACTGGGCTTGCTTCCTGGTGTGACCTTGCCTCTACCCCTGGTCTGCAAATGGTGTGTAATACAACTTTTTATACTTCCAGTCAATGAAAAAGTGAAAGGAGAGGAGAGGAAGAGAGGAGAGGAGAAAGAAGGGGAGAGGAGTAGGGAGGGGAGAGAGAGAGAAAGGGAGAAAAAAGAGGGAGAGGGAAAGGGAGAGGGAGAGAGAGAAGAAAATATCCTTTCAAGAATGCCCTTTCTAACCTGTGCCTTAATCATGACTCTGGGACTTCACTGTCTTTGTCCCCTACCTCTGCCATTTGCTATTCATTCTCTCATTTATTTTCTGTTTGTTAGACTTTCCAACCCTGTTTATTTCTTCCAAAACTTACTTATCTCTTATTTTTTCATATTTATTCATCAGACTTCATCTCATCTATTCCTAGTATTCTTTTTTGGATATATTTTAAACCTATATCTCTAGTCCCCTTCTCCTTTCTAAGCCTCTGACCCATTCTTTTTATTATTGTTAATAATAATAGACAGCATTTCACCACGCCATTCAGGCTGGCCTTGAACCCACTTTGTAGCCAACTTGCAATGATCCTCCTGCCTCAGTCTCCCAGGTGCTGGGATTACAGGCATGTGCTACCATGCCCAGCTCCCCAGACCCATACTTTAAACTTTTTTCTGGATGTCTCATTGGCTCAGCTTAGTGTCCCCAGAATAAAGCTGATGATCACCTTCCAAACTTGCTTCGTATGTAAATGATGGTGTATGTTTCCATTCAGAATGCTGAATGAGGAAACCTGGCACCTGTTCTGCTCTGCTCTTCCCTTCCCTTCCCTTCCCTTCCCTTCCCTTCCCTTCCCTTCCCTCCCCTCCCCTCCCCTCCCCTCCCCTCCCCTCCCCTCCTCTCCCCTTCCCTCTCTTCTGTTCTCTCCTCTTTCCAAGTAGTTCCTCTGACTGGATGATTTTTCTTTAATATATCCCCAGATCTGAATTTGGTTATGTTCCCCAATTAGAATACAGGCTCCTTGAGGGACAAGCATGATATTATTCCCCTAAAATCTCTACACTCAGCTTATTGCTTTACATATTGTAGGTGCTCAAAAAATGTTGTGAATATATATACGTATATATAAATATATAAATTATGGAGAATAAAAAGGTAAAAATCATTATTCTCTCAGGAAGAGAAAAGAAATAAAAGATACTTTAAAGGTAAGTTAAAATAATTTATTGACAGCCAGAATAACTATTAAAATGCTGGCTGAATTATTAGCCCCAGAGAAGCAAGAGGCTGGGGACCTGTAAGACTTATCAAATAATGAATCAAAGGATGGTCCCTGTAGCCTGCTGTTAAGAGGTAGAGATATTTCAACATCTCAAGTATCAAGTACCACAATCTTTTATGAGACTAGAAAATCACTGTAGGTCTCATAAATTTTCCTCTTCTCATTGTTCCAGAGGCTTAATTTAGGATGAGTCACTCCATAAATCTAGGCAAAGATGACTAATGATTATAATAACAATATCATAAATTATATAGTGCTTTTCCTCCAAAGCAAAACTGTACCTAATTTATCCTCACAGTATTCCTCATTGGTTGCTAGGGCCAGGGATTATTATCTCTGCTTTTCAGATATCAGAATAGGCATGGGAATGTGCCTATTCATTTATCCGCACTGCCATTCCAAATGCTATGGCTACATCTGCCTGTCCATGAACGCTTACTTCCAAGTGAACTCCTACTTTCTTCTCACCTTAGTGAGACCTTCTCCGGGCTTTGATTCGGTTGTCTTTTATCCTGTTTGTCACACCACATTCCCAATCTTATATGAAAAAATTTTGTAATTCCTTTATTGTCTAATTCATTGTTGTAGAAATTCAGGGAATTTATAGAGGAATTAAAAAAGTAGAAAACCATGAAAAAATAATTTTTGATCTATTTCCTATTAGTAATTTTAATGATAGTTTATTTATCTGTCTCAATGGATTTTTAAAATTACTGGAACTTTGTGTATTCTTTCAGATATTCTGTTTATTTGAGATCTTTTAGCCTGTTCTCGTCCATTGACAACTGCAATAAAATAGGAAGTATGAACTTTTAAAATCTGACTTAACCATTATTTATCAAATTGGATAAGATGAATATTTAAGGACACATTTTTAAGTAATTTGGCTATTGAATTAGATAAGTATTTAAGTTACTTTATTAAGTAACTTGGCTAAGGTTTTATGGTCAGTGATACTGTGATCATAGTGTTTGGGTCATAGAACACACATCTGTCTCTTTTAATAATAATTTTATTATTTGGCATATAAATCCATTGTGTTAAATTAGAGGTTGAATCTCAGAATATTTTCTCTAGTAGATCTTATAAATGAATTAATGTATGAATAATTACGAATATGATGGCAAAAAATAATGTCTTGGATTTAAAAATTATTACTGTATGAGTTCAAATTACATTGTATGTATCATTTAAAATGACCTTATAGAAAGGCTTAAAAAATAGCACTAATTTTTTTTTCAGACAAGGTCTCACTATGTAGTTCAAGCTGGTCTTGAACTTATTATTTAGCCCTGGCTTGCCTTGAACTAGCAGTGATCTCCCTACTTCGAAGAGCACTAATATTTTTGTGTATCCATTCATAGATGGAGTTGCTAATCATCTTCATTGATGCTTTCATTTATTTCACCAATATGTGTTGATTGCTAGCAATATGCCAGGAATTGTGTTGGCTGCTGAATATGTAATAATGAACAAATCAAATGGAAGTCTTGGCCTTGTACAGCGTTTTCTCTCTCTCTCTCTCTCTCTCTCTCTATATATATATATATGTATATATATATATATATATATACATATATATATATACACACACACATATATATATAAATTTATATAGATAAAAAAATTTATATACATATATATATAGAGAGAGAGAGAGAGAGAGAGAGAGAGATGTGAAACAGAGATGTACAAAGAGATGCATGCTTGCAGATGTTGAGAAGTGTTATGAAGTAAAAAGGTGGGAATAGCTGCAGTTTACAGTGAAGAATCCAACAAAGCTTCTTCGAGAAAGAGACCTTTGCTGTTTGGTTGCAGGGGAAGGTTAGACTTGAGTGGCATGTGCAGGAATCAACACTTGTGAAGAACCAGCGTGCACCCGAGAACCTGCACAGCAGAGAGTGTGGCCCACGGATGGAGGAGACAGTTTGCAAAATGAGGTAAAGAAAGGAGAAAAGAAGGGCCCTTACAGATGGAAAGTGTGTGGGGCATAGGTTGGAGAGGTATTAGAGTGATGAGTCAGGAAGCTCTTTAGTTAGTTCAGGTGAATAAATGGTGGGCACTGTAAAGTGGACAGATTTAAAATATAGTCTAGAGTCAGATGAGTAGGACTGAGTGGTGGATGGGATGGAGCCACAGTGGGAGTGAAAAGCAATATGTCCAGAGTCACTGAATCTCTGACTGTGTGAGCCAGAAGAAATTTTTTATTTTAATGATGCAAAAAGCAAATTTGTAAGAAATGAGTCACAACTCAGTTTGTATCGATGTGGTATATTCCATAAAAGTTCAATTATTTATAAAAAAATGATAATTTTAATCATTCTCTTTGGAGAATAAGGGTTATAGCAAATGGAAATGATAATAACTGTTTTAACAGTAATAGCTAATGCATACACAGCCATTTCCTATATTCCAGTCATCATACCAGAACTGTTAACATGTTTATTTGCCAAGTCAGGCAACTACGAGTGACAGAGTTGAAATTTAAGTCCAAGTTTGTTTGATTCCTGAGCTCACATTCAAAGCCATTCTCCTCCTCTCATTCAATAGGTATCAAATTCTTGTGTGCCAGGGCCTTCAACACTTTCCAGTTACTATGACAAAATACCTGATACCTGTAATTTTAAAGAGGAGAAGTTTATTCTAGTTCATGTTTTCAGTCCATGGTCAGCTGGCTCCAAGGCGGAAACAGGATGGCTGAGGGGCATGGCAGAGAAAAAGATCAATAATCCAAGGCAGCCAGGAAGCAGACAGAGAAGGGAGGACATGGGCACAAGTGTAACCCTTCTAGGACATCTTCCTAGTGATGTATCTGTGACCAGGCTCCATGTGCTAACATCATATTCAGCGACTGGACAAGTCCACTGATGAATACAACACCACCAGGACCCAGTCGCCTTCAACACAGATGAGAATTTTGGGGGTATTTTAGATCTAAACCATAACAGCCAGGAGTGTTTCCGAACCTGGGTCTGTGGCAGTAAACAAAGCAGACATTTGTACTTTCCTAACTTGCATTCTATTTTGCAGTAGGAAAGACTAAGATAATAAAACATAATAAATAAATGAATAATGTGCTAGAAAGTGATAAAAGCTGTGAAGAAAAAGAAATCTTGGTTACAAGGGGTTTGCATTTTACATAGACAGCAAATGTCACTGGGAAAGTAACATTTGACAAAAGATTTGGAGGACAGGAAAGACTGAGGTCTGAGGCCATTGAAGGGAAGAATGTTCCAGGAATAAGAGAGTGAAAGCGTGGCTCTCCTTCTTGGCTGCCATGTGTTTGGGGACAGGGAGAGGCTGGTGTGGTGAGACTGGTGGTAGGGAGTGGGGATGTGACTGAGGAAGCAGCAGAAGCCGGATTGTCCTTTGGCCCGTCAAAGTAAGGTTTTAAAATTGTATTTATTTATAAATTAATTTGTTCACTACTCGGTTATTTACTTGTAAGGTATACTGCCATAGTTGTTGTATGGGGTTGCTGCCTGTCACACTTTCCCGAGGTGAGCCTTATTCATACCTTGGTACCCATCAATCCCTAGAGGAGGAACGAAGGGCAGGGCTGCTGCTCTCTGAGGGCTCCTGCCCCGCTGAGGAAGCAGCGCTGACTCAGGAAGTCAGCGAGGTGGTTAAAATTTTCATAACCCACAGTGGTCCAGGTTTTATTCAGCTTTGCCACTGCTTCCTAAACCCATTTTCAGCGTGCTTCAGAGCAGTGGTTGTGAAACTTGAACATGTATTAAATTAAATACCTTGGAGATGGGTTCAAATGCAGCTCTGATTCAGTCGGTCTGAGGAGGGGCCAGAGCCCTGCCTCCTGCCATGTTTCTTGTTAAGTCAGAGCTACCAGCCTGGGTGCCACATCTTGGGCAGCAGGGCTTTAGAGTTGGCTGACAACTTTCCTCTCTGTCATCTCATTTTAATTTGGATCTTGATCAAAACCCTGAGTTATTTGGTTCATATATTATCATCTTCATTTACAAATGAAGAAACCAAATCCCCAGGGTGAAATGACCTGATCATATGGCCAAATAACAGCTATGACTTGAATTTAGTTCCTTGGCTGTGAGACAACAGCTGCCCTGATGGCTTTTAAGTTCTCATACATAAAAAGCACATGCTAATTAGTGTTTTTGGCTGGTGCACGTGTATACACACACACACACACACACACACACAAACTGTGGAGGAAGGGCTGCTGTGGAGCAGGGGTTGGGGAGGATGATAAAGCCCCCCTTCCCCTAAGCTGCAGCTGCCTGGAGGCCAGCCTTGGCACTGGTCTCTGGAAGTGATCCAGACATCACAACATGCCCTGGAAATGTGCCTATCTCACGTGCAATTCTGGCTCCACCTTCGATGTCAGCGTGTGCTTCACATTTGCTTTGCATGTGAGCTAAACTGCGTTTCATCCACCTCTGAGGCATTCTGCTTCCGAGTTCTTACCCAAGTCAGGGTATTTACTGTCAGGCTGCAAAAGATTGTTCTCCTCGCCCAAGGAGAGCTATGTTCTCAGAGAGGAAGCCCATCGCTTCCTACTGAGCCCCAGCTTTCTGGGAAAAGCAGAAATCTTTGAAGCATTTTCAACCAAATCCTTGGAGAGGTAAACATATTTTTCAGCTGCAGGATTCCAGGTTAGAGAAGTGTGTCCCCCACTTGTTTACAAAGCAGCACAGCAGCTGTTAGGAGGCCTCCGCCCCCACTGGACAGACAGAGGCATGTGGAAGATGTGCCGAGCCCCACACAGTCTGCTTGGCGCCCTTCCGGAGGAGCTCATCACCATCAGTCACCAGCAGTGTAGGGAGCTCAGGGGCACAGGGATAGCAGATGAGACATGCTTGGCTTCTCTGATTCCGTTTCGTTGTGCTTTTTTTTAAATTAATTTTTAAAAAAAAAATCTAGCTTTCTATAGATGATGGGTAAAGAAAACCTCTTATGTGCAACCCTCAGATACCATGCCCTGCTTCCTGTTCCAGAGTCAGAAACCAGGTTTTAGATACAGGTATTAGTTGCATGGATATGTGGTGAAAAGCATTGGTTAATTACTTCTCTCTGTTCATGCTTCAAAGGCTAGTTACTGTCCTGTATCCTCTTTTTTGTCCTGAAGTCCCCTTTGATCATACCAGGTTGCACCGATTGGTCCTTCTTCTAATTCCAGAACAGAAAGTGTTTTCACTGCTCATTAGTCATTTATCCCACACTGCTTTGTATGGTTAAGAATAAGAATAATGATAACAATAGCCGACATTTACACATTTACTTATGGGTTAGTATTACTATCCCTATTTTAAAATGAGAAAATTGGAGCTGGGATTATAGTTCAGTGACATTAGTGCCTGCCTGGCAAGCGTGAGGTCATGAGTTCAATTCCCAGTACAAAAAAAGAAAAAAAAAAAAAGGAGTGAATTGAGGCAGACAGAAATTAGGATTAGGGTTTCCCCAACGTTATATAGCTCAAAAACCAGACTCTACACTGGATGGAGGTGGATTTGAACCCTTTTAAGTATGTAACAATAATGCCTTTTCTATTATACTGGGATAGTCATTAGTAACAGTCTTTGATAAATAACAATATTTAATAAATATCCCCCATGTGGTTTTAGGTCAGGCCAATCTGACTTTGACATGGAAAGCTGAATTCAATATTGTAGGCACTAAGAACTATATAAGCCTGGGTCTACTTGGGGCTATCTTTGCCCTCAAGTATAGTATAGAGTCAGTCTAGTAACACAACATAGAAGAGGGTAGACAGATGGAGTTACATGTTTCTAAAGGCAGATTAGAATGCCTGAACTCAATTGGGCTTTATTTCTAGAATTTTCAATTATAAAAACAAACATATTCCCTACTTTTTCTTGTGATATTTTAAAGACTTTTCTTCATGCAATCAAATGGAGTCCTTGTAATATAACCTATTAAAACATGAAATTAAAAAAATAACTCAAATTGAAGCATATGACATCTCTTCCTTGAGATAATAGACCGGTTGCCCAGAAATGCTTTGCTCTTATTTTTTGTCTAGACTGGTATTGCCCAAAAGTACTTCCTGTGATGATTAGAATGTTCTAGAAATGGTGTAGCCCTACACTGGCCAGTATAGTAGCCATTAGCTCTGTATGTACTATTGAGTACTTTAAATGTGACTAGTATAACACAGGAACTATATTTTCAATTTGATTTACATTAATTAAACAGGTAAATATGGCTATTAGCTATCATATTAGACAGCATAAAACAATCCATCTTTGTACTTCAGCAAATACAGACCAGCCTGATGACTCTGATGCAGTAGGTGGCATGAATTACAGCCCATTTGGTTTTTGTTTCTGATGGTTCTCCAGAACCCATCTATGATTCTGATGGGCCCCAGAGGTTCATTTCTATGATGCCAAAGCCCATGAGTTCTCCATGTATGAGATTTAGGAGAGTAACTTGCCTAGGTCTTCTAATAGCAAATTCTTTATTGGCTCTGTTAGTATAACATCATTTAAGGGAAAGTTTTTTTTACTTTGTAAACATGGCTCTCCCATTCTGGTCTGTCTATCCTGCATGAGACTTGGTGTGAGAAAGGCCTGGGAGCCTCAGCTCCTCATGGTCTAGGTCATGTGACGCTTGTGGTAGAAATGTATGAAAAACAGACACATAAATATTCAGGTATGCTCCTATTTATCTTAAAATTACTCATCTAAATTTATGGGAAGGAGGCAGAGACAAATCATAAGATACTAATTTACCTAAAATTTACCTACTCATAAAGACCCTTTGGAATCTGAATTTAAATTCTGATTTCATCCATTAGCAGATGTAAGATACCTATTATTCATGCTTCTTAAATAGTGAATTATTAAAATTGAAAAATAGGAGTAGTGGTGTCTATGTCCATTCACTATGGTGTTATAGTGAGTAGTGAGTGAGACAGTACATGAAGACTTGGTGGAATGCCCAG